AGCGCTTGCGAAAGACGTCAAGAAGCTCCAAAGGTCTTGGCCGTGAAGCTCAGAGGATTCTGGTCAACAGGCTCGGGACCCAGCTCCGAAGTGCAGCCAAGTTCGCCTAGGTTAGATACCCACGCAAACAACTCCTCACTGTCTGAGCTGAATCACGATGGCACCTGCCTCGTTGAGGCCCGTCGCCTCCATCTGCCTAAAACAGACTGATCGGAGCAAAACCACCCCCGCTGCGGTCTCGTCTAGACAAAGCGAAAATGCAAGGGGTTCCCGAGTCCACTTTTTTCTGGTTCCAAAGAAAGATAAGTAGAAACTCTAGTACCAATTCTGTTGAACGACCGAGAACTTATGGCTGGACAACGGAGACGCCGAAACTCTAGAACGACTGGGAAAAAATTGTGAGCTTCCGCAAGTCGACCACCACGGCGAAAACCGGAAATCGGAACAGCTGCGAACTACGCATCATGGCATAATTAATGCCCTCAGTAATACGCTATACGTATGGAGCCAAATGTTCACTGGAAGCGGAAATCGGAAATCGGAATAGATATTCCGAAAATCGCTGTATTGGAACTCGGTGCCTTGCGTACATTTGGCAGTTCATAGACTTCTTGAGTAACCTCAGTTCTTACCTTTGGAAATCTCCAGGGCTCATTAGGGCGTGAAATTGCGCTAAACGCCCCAAAAGAGAGGATGGAAGACGGAGAGGAGGAAGGAGGAAAACAAAGATGAAGAAAGAGGAAGCGGCAGCAAGAAGATTCACGGCCGTCAAAGTTCTGATGAATCGGTGAAAACATTATAATGACCGGTAGCAGCTGACAATTGAAATGGCTCAATGAACCGCGAAAACTCGTCCAAAAATCAGCTGATCCCTGTGCCTTCCTCAAATAAACTACGTCTGGCCAAACGATCGAGTTGCACAACAGTTTAATTGAGCCACAAATCCTGGTCGAAATGCATTCCGAATGAGAATGGTCGTGGTGCTGAGTGGTGTCAACAACACGTGAAACTAAAGTTCTGATCGGCTAGCAGGTTGGTCCTGAAGCGATTGCGGATGAAACGGTAGCAGCCAGACGGCGCTTGCTCTTCAGCGCTTTGTCGTCGTAGTCCGAGGCGCGAGCCACGCGACGGCGGCGGCGCAGCCATCCACCCCGGAAAGGCCACCACTGCGCCAAGAATCAATGCCCTCGTCGGATTTGTTGGACCACAATGAAAATTAGCTGCCGGACAGACACACATCGTTGTTATTGACAGCCGGCTGAGCCGAGTGAGCGGTTGGCTGCTCGGCCGGGGCTCCAACACGGGCAAAATCTGCTCAACTGATTTTCAACAGTTAATTGGTTGTGTCGTATTGAATGAAAAGGCGCTTTTCGTGGAATCCCGAGGGTTTTCCCAAAATGGAAACGGGAAATCCCTTCGGGCGTCTGCGCCTCGTCGGAATCCGCACCATCGCGCGATTTTTCACGCACTCGGCTCCGGCGACCAACTCCTCGTTAGCGCGTGTGCAATGATCCATGGGCTATTTTGACCATGAAAAAGAGTGAGCGGAGAACAGAGCAGGGCTAAGTCTTTGTGTTGGCCTCCCATGCGTGCTTACCACTGTAGGAAAATGCTCAGATAGCCTCAATATTTCGTTTCTGGGAGCTTGCACCAGCAAAGTCGTTTCCCAAAACTCCACAGACTTCCAAGAGCACTCGCCTAGTTCCCTGGATGGGAAAAAATCGAGCCCTTCCCTATGCTCATTGTATGCTTCTCAGTGTCTTAAGGCTACAGAGGGACACATTACCCTGAGCACTTGTAAGAAACCCCGTAGTTGCTTAGCGGAAAGCCCTGGATCGCTGCGCACCTACTCCAAACCCCGAGCCCCTCAGAGGTATCGGAACCCCAGATTGACCTCCTGAAAAGGCGGCAGCACCTGAAATCCGTCCAGCCGCTCTTTAAGAATGTGTGGATTTTTAAGAATTGAAAATTCAAACTGATCATGCTGAAATACTCAGCAGCCCTTGGAAAGTCCAACAAAGCATCTTTGAAAGCAGGCGATTGCCCACATCCTCATGTGGCGCAGGCGCACTAGCTTGGGAATGCTGCAAACGAGAAGCGATAAGTACCACCTGGGAAACTTCGAATCTTGATCCCATGGCAGGACCAAATTAGCGCTGAGAATCCAAATCTACGCTAGCTTATCAAGAAGGCACTACATCAAGGCTGCACATCTTCTCCTCATTGGTGGGTCCGGTTTTGGGAAAGGCCTCATTCCACCTTTGGCGACCCTTTCTGAGCGCCACAAATTCGCTGCACATCTGTCTAAAGTAGGAAATTCTCTGAATGTCCTATTCGCATTTATGAAATAATTGGAGTCCCTCTAAAACCCGAATTCTGCTGGTGCTGGTCTTCGCACTTCGAAACTGTTTAGTGCTTCCGAATGTGAGTCCAAAAGACCTTTAGTCTACTTATCTCTGGGTTGCGAACTAAGGGTTGAGACTACGTGGGCTACGAAGAAGACCCGCACCAAATGCTGAGATTGCTGTTCTCCCTCCAAACGTCCACCAACCTATCGCGCCACACCCCGTACGCGCAATAAACCCTTCAGGCTTAAGGCGCTCAAGCGCTCTGTACGGGTTCGCAGAAGCTGAGAGCTGAGCAAAAAACTTGGCCGCCAGGCCGTATTTTTCTTCTTTTCTTCCTTTTCCTTTTTTTCAAGAAGGTGCCATTAAAACAGAAGGTTGGCGAATGAAAAAAAGGTAGAATCGATCTCTGGAGAGCCTTCGAATTCATGGCTATTGATCGAGAAAACACATTCGAAATACATCCAACCCATCCAACTTTAGCACTTTCCTCCACATAAACATGCCTGGCAGAGAACAGCTGTTTCCAAGAAAGAATTTCGCAAACGTCAGCTTCTGACTCGCGAAAATCCTCACTATTTCAATGCGCTGCCCTTTGTGGTACAGCCTTCACTGGGGAAATGGCGTCATTCCCTTCACAGGCTTCCTTCATTGAGAAACTCAGCTGTTTACTCAAAAATGTAACCCATAATAAGAGCCTTGAGCAATGAAGACCGACATCTCCATCAGAGTATGTCGGAAGCAAGTGTAACGCGCTTCTAATGCCAAGGATGGATCGAAGTCTTGCAAAGAGCGGTCCTGATTGCTCTCTTGACGTGGCCTTCTGCATATCTATTGATAAAACGGCGTTCTGTAATGAACCGAAAAAAGGTTTGTGCGTGTCTGAAGCCCATTAGACCGAATTCATAGTCCTTTCCAAGGGCATTCGATCCCAGCTGCGACACCCACGAATTTGCTGGGCAACGCCAAGCGTCCTCCATGGTCAGAAAACAGGGCATTTGACTATTATTCCATCCTTATATTGGGTTGCTAGGGCAAAGAAAACCACTGAATATCGATGAAAGTTTCCAGCACTACACGGGACACACTGTACGAATTGCACTTAATGGTATTGGGGCAGGCTTATGTGCTGAAAAGAGCGCCAAATACGTTCGTTGACCTTTCTAAGATCATTAACTCCTTCTGAGGGGTATTACTTGTAGCCAAGAGTAAAGTAACCTGAGATGACATCTGCATACAATGTAAGGGCGAGTATCGATTTTACGCGCGCGATCAACTTCGAGACAAGACACATTGAAGCAAGCCAACAAAATCTGACCTCCTAGCGCATAATACCTTTTAAAGGCAAGATTCGGGATAAAATAGGTGTGGAAAAGCGTTCAGTTATGAAGCTATAGGTGGGAGGTGGTCTGTAAAAGAGAAGGAAAGCAAACGAAACCACCGATTACGCCCCGTACAGAGACCTCCCCTATTTCAGCCACATTCCACCTTGGGATAGAGAAGAGGCGAATTGGACGAGTTTCACGAACCTAACTCTACTTGCTCCAGTGTCAATAACATTGGATCGCGCTGGGACCACTGCCTCAAATGCGCCCGCGCTTTTCAAGCAGCGCCACGTGGCAACCGACAGCGAAGGGTGGGGCTTGCGGACGAAGGTGTGAGTTGCGGGTTGGACGAGCTCCTTGCGCCCTTTGTCGCGTACTTTCAAGCCGCAAAAGGGGCCCGACATCAACACTTGTCCACCTGCCTACTACCCCTTGGATGGAACAGGCGAGCCCGCCTGATCACGGAGCGTGCCTTTAAGGTGCGGGATACAACAGCAAACACAATAAATGTCGACTGAAGACGTACTTTTGAATGGGCCGCACCTCTTGGGTAAATTCTATACTGAAAGTACAAAGTCTGCCTGAATGCTCAACAATCAGCGCTAAATTTGGCCATTTACCTTGATAGCCACCAGGGACCTGAATATGTCATATGGGACAAAATATGAATTCAGGCCGATATCCATTCATAAGGGTGGTCCACGCTCAGAGGCTCAGCTAAGAGGGGTCGGGTAAGTGGCTATATCTGGCCAAACCAGTCATAGTTCTTGGAGTACCCGACAGGAGGCCCGTCGCGCGGCGAGAAGGCAGAGACGCAGACGAGTCAGCGGACGAGTCGCAGCGCGTACTGTAGCGATTTAGCGTCAAGTTGAAATAGAATGTGCTATAGTACGTCCCACATTGCACAGTTCACGCTGCGACTCGTCCACTAATTTTTCTGCGTCTCTGCCTTCCCGCCACGCGACGGGCCTCCCGTCAGGTACGCGATTTCTTAGGAGATGTAGCTAAGCAATTAGAGCTGAAAGCAAGCTTCGGGGCGGAATAATTGTCGTGCTCGTCCAAGAACCAATTCTCAGGGCTTTTCGATAGTGTTCTTGTGGACTTTGGCACACGAGAAGCTCACCAAAAAGTCCAGGGTGGACTGATAAGGAGTTATCAATGGGCATGTTCGGTTCGCCTCCAGTGCACGGACCGATTCCAATCAGTTCAGGCTCCAGGCCACTTGTCACATAGAGAATGTCCCAATAACTCAGGTAAAGAACCACATAGGAAATGAAATATGACATATAGACAAATAAACTCATGTGTTGGCACAACGCCAATCAAATATTCAATGAATAATGACAGCCATATGAACAACATCCACAACCAGGCTTCCGAATGTCGCGAATTGGCTGAGCGCTGGGAAGGCCGAGACAATAGCCCGACGACCGCGCAATTGCCAGACGCCCTTCGCCTTCTGAATACCTCAATGATGCCATTCGAAGTTAATTGCAGCCGTGTCGAAGAAAAGCTCTCTGAATAGCTCACTAGGGCACACAATAAATGCAGGGGTATAACCGTGGATGTGGAAGTAGTTGGTCCTGCCACGAAAAGCGCCGTTGACGAACTAGGGTGACGCGAAAGACCACAAAGATTCATCCTAATCCGTGGCGTTTGTTTACTTTTGCAGAAGGAAAACGAGCATCACACGGTGTAAACATAGAAATAGACGATTCGACGACGTTTTTGGCAGAGCGCCAACAAAGCCCCGGAACAGGCGATTCCAGCGATGAAATGGTGGGCATTGATAAGAACTCTGTGTTTGAACACCTTCCAAAACACTAAAACCAAGTCCCTCTATGAAGTGCTTTTTAAGAGCAACCTGCAATTGACTGAGCCATCTAAAGGGCTCATCTAATCAGCGATCGATTGATCTTATCATTGAATCAAGCTTCAGTAACAACTAGACCGTACCTCATCACAAGCAGCACATCGTGGTTTGTGCAGTTCTGCGTAGTGCCGTTCACAATAGATCTGGTCGTCTTTCACGCAGTAGGTTTGTTAGGTCGACAAGAAAGCTGTGAAATTTTAGCGATCGATAATCGATTTTTGGGTTGGTGAGGTTTTTGGGGGAGATCAGTGACTCTTGGGACTCAGAAATGAGCATGAAAATCACGCCGAGGACGTGGAAATAATTTCAGGTACCGTTTTTCACAGCGAAATAGTGGCATTGTGTGGAAATCGGTTACGGTAGGGAACAACATTCCGAGATTCTGAGAAAGACAAAGGCGACCATGAAAATCTCCAGGAGCAGGGAGCGGTGAAGAAAATCTGGCAGTTCGGGGACCGAACGTCCACTGTATGCCTACGTTGATTCAGAATTGCGGCGCAGTCGGCGAAGTTGAGGGGCGCTTAAGACTATGTCCAAAGAAGGCACGAGCTCAAGGGAAAATGAAAACCAGTGATGCCCCTTTGGAGTCCCCCGGTCAAGTATTTTGGAACCTCCTCCACAGCCTGAGGCTTTTTTTTTCAGGAGCCTACTCCAAATGCAGAACTCACCTGCTCACAGGCGGCGCAGGTGAAGCAGGCGGGATGCCAGCCGGTCGAGTCGCCCAACTTCGGCGCTATCACAGCCATTTCATTGCGTTCGAGCACGCCAGAGCACTTATGACACTCCTGAATACGGTATTTTTTAGATCTCAGAGAAGAGGGTTGTGGCCAACTGTGCTAATAAGGTGCGGTTACGCTTACCATACTCTTGGGAATATTTGCCGCCACATAGCCGATGTCGAGGGCGATCTCATTCCGAGCATTGATAAATTCTTCGTAAACCTGAAATTGGAACATGTGCTGAAAACGATGCTGTGCATCATAAGAAGGGTGAGCTACAAGGGTTTTTTGTGACAGTCATGAGTATAGCTAAGAAACGAAATACTGGCTAAGGAGTCAAGTATGGGAATTATGGAGGCAGAGCCTCATGCGGACGGTGAAGAATTCAGCGCTGCGAAGGGTTTTATTAGCACGTTTCAATGCATGTGTGGCTTGTACAATAGATTCAAGCAAACTGTAGCTGCTGAACGACTCCGGTAGGGTGGGAGCCATGGGCAACCTGACGCACGAACGCGGTTTTCCAAACTGTGATCACGTCAGCAAAGCGGGGCCACCCGTTTGTGCTCCAATCCTACTTGGGGATCGTGCACAAAAAGGCCACCGTGAACGCCGGCAAGTGCTCTCCAGAACACGCCATGCATTTAGCTTTTGGATGAAATCGTAGCTTATTGAATGCGTCTTTCACCCCCGGATTTCATTTGCTGCCTATTGGACAATGAAGTAAATTTTGCGACCATGACATCTAGAAGGCCCAATGTGACCGATATGGCATTGGATTCTCCAAGTAATTCAGCATGCGCCGTCGCTTTTCTGAGAGGGATAATTGCCCAAAAAGGGGCTGATTCATTCAGAAACGTCTGGCTCGGGATCGCACTTCCCGCATGCCTTTCCTATGTGCTCGCATCCACAAGTCCCACCTATATCATTTTTCAGTGCATGGAGTGGGGGTGGACGCGAGGAAAAATCCAACCTCTTAAGGACAAATGATGGCACCACCTTCAACACACAGGTGGTGTAAAGGAGAACGTTGACAATTTGGCAAAGCAGCGCCATATACCACACCACATTCAAAATCCTGGGATCGAATTTTCCAAGGGCTTACTGCTTATTTCAGGGTGGTTGGTATTTCAGAAAAGGCAAGCCTCTCTTAGGCTGTGATCAGAACACAGGAGTACACATTGGGTATTCTCCAAAAACATCCCTAAGACCAAGTATGTTCTTGAATAGCACGATTGCACGTGGAAGTTGAATGCATGGCTCATGCCAAATATGAGTGAATTACTACCGAGCGCTTTGCCTTCCCCTTATAGGTGGCAGCTCTTGGTTTATGCACAAGTTCCAATAGTAGCGCCTGAAATTATAACGACGCCGGAGTTGTCGCTCCCCTTATCATTCCCCCCCCCCTCACAATTTCTCCACTTCATCGTAAAGCCCTACAAAGGCTTATGGTAAATCATTGTCGGTGAGCGTTCCTTATTAAATGCGCTCATCGCCCTTGCCAAAGTGCCCACGTGGTTGGATCCGAGAAATCTATGTAACAGTGATAAATTACAAGTGCTGCTACGTAGGGATAAGCGGCGCTCGTGTGAAAACCATTTCTCTGAAATCGTACTGAGATTTAAGGAAATCGTGGCAGGACCCACCTTTCGTTCGGCATTACTGCCTAAATGCCTACAGTAGGCGACGGACAGATCCTGTCGTGGCAGTTGTGTGAGCAATTGTTTTTCACGATATTTTTCACCACTCGAGTTCACTCGCGGCACGATGTGATTCGGCAGTTGAGCCATGTACTCTTCCACCTGAACAAAATCAGTAATGATTGGTAATCATGCATTAAATTACATCACCAACACTGCATAATTGGAGTTTATTTTGGTGAGAATTTCAGTAAAATATATGACTTCATTGGCCACACCCATTTCCTTACACAGTGGACACGACCGGCCAGGCAAATAGACCAAGGCTATATGGCCTAGGAGAAGTATTTTTTGTTGTGGACCAAAAGACCCACTTACATCGATCAGCCAAGGAATTTGTCGATTAGCGGCGAATATTGACGAGACTTCGGTCATGAATCTGATCATGACAGGATCCTCGAGCATGCTCTCCGTTAGCAAACCCATCGTCGTCTCGATGGTGCAGCCGGCACAGGCAGGACTGTTCAGAATCAGAAGCCGAATGAAAGCTGAACGTCAAATAGCGACGACGTCATTGAAATCGAGCGCAAGGATTCGTGAAGCGGCCGCGGTGACCAAAAAGCTTCGGAAACTGGTAGTACGGGGTGAAAAAGCTCAGAGAAACGGAACCCATAGGAAAAACCACTTCATCAAACTTCAATTAGTCAGAGGAATAGGATCTGAAGAAGTCAAGGGAGGAGCGCACGAAAACTGAGGCTTGGAAATCCATCAAAAACGGAAAGGGAAGTAAGAAGTGGAAGAACACCAGATGATAAATGAACTTCTTGAACAACGGTTTTCCACGTGAGCTTCAGGTTTTGAGGGCGTACAATACTTGGAGCGCGAAAATGGTGTAGTGGCAAGTGGCGCCGCTTAGCACACGCTCGGTCAGGGGATCAAATCCTGGGCCGTGCGCCAATGCTTTATCTTTATCGGCGCTATCACAATCTTCGGGGGCGTTATGATGGCAATGCATTCAAAACCGTGTAAAACATGCCTTTTTTGTCAAAAACGGGACCAAGCCTTAGGCGGGGGAGGAGAGACTCCAAGGTGCGTGAGCCATTTTCATTTTCCCCGGAGTTCCTGCCCCCTCGGAGGCTTAGTCCTAGATGATGCCCCGTATATTGCGATAGCGCCCCTCTGTCGCTTATTCTCACGCTTTCGGGTTGCGCCATGCACATGTCATTAGCGAAGATCTCCACGGCTGATTGAAAGTGCGCAGAGCATACATTCACTCAAAAATGGAGAAGCAGAGCTTCAATCAAAAAACAATTGCAAAAAACTTAATTCTAATGCTATGGCGTGGTGACTGTGTAAAATAAAAGCGCAAAATCCAACCCCTGGCTATAGGAAACCCAGAAAGCTGAATCTAACCGAAACGAGAAGCTGCCAAGATTAGGCAGTCCTGCAAGGATTAGAGAGAAGAGCCAATACAGTAAGCGAAATTCGGAAGTCGGAAGACCTCAGAGGGAATAGGGGGATCCGGAAGTGATAGCAACAGGACGACAAACTTGCAGGCCTGTTACTCACAGTTATCCGAACCACTCACAAACCCTAAGCCGCCCAGAGATTACAGACGTGATTTTTCATCGCTTTTTTCCCAACAGAAAGCTCAATTTCAAACACGTGTGTGGAGCTATCGCAGAACAGCCGTGGAGTAGTGAGAGGACGAGTGGCTTAGCCGATCGCCGAAGCGATGGCTCCTTCGCCGCCGAGGGACGAAAAACCACGATCGCAACTCCAAAAACCCAGTTTGTTACGCGCAGCTATCGGCGTTCGTCAACATCGCTACAAAATCGAGACGGTTTCCCAGGGTGAGAAAAAGTCGGGTCTTCGTTACGGGTGAACTAGTTCACCGGATCAAATCTTTTCTGAATGTTTACTTTTTTGTAAACAAAAGGGATATGAGAATGGGAGCGATGTGAAGAGCTGAACAAAAGATACACTGCTTGCTACGTCAGAATGCGCCCTACATCCCACTTCTATTCAGAACCTTGGAGACACTAGAACGCATGTTCGGGCGATGCACCTCCCCATCTTAATATTGCGCAAACGCTGGCCCCAGACAGCCCCCGGTAGCAGTTACCCAACAGACTTAGCGATTCAGTTGGTAGGAAAATCAGAAGAAGTTTTCCTCGTTCAGCAAAAGAGGGTTCTTTTCATAGCAAAGCTCTAAAGACTCACAATCCTATCGCACAGCGTATCTAATACCGGGATATACCGTGTTGAATGACTGGTATCTTCATGAGTCTGGTAGTTCTACCCACCCAAGGTTAGAGGAACTCTCAACTAATAGGTACAACCTGGTCTCTACAATCGCGTGCGAGAGATATATGGATGAGTTCCTCATGACTTTTCGATACCCCACCTGAGACTGGAAGACCAGTAGGGAGTACTGGGAAACTTATTTGGACCAGTAATCAATAATTTCATGAGGAAAATCTGCCAAATCTGAGCTCCCATGACTCATTTCCTGCCTCCTGCGCAAAAAGAGATTTTCTTTCCCAAGGTTTCATTACCGATACCGACCGAAAACCCATGACTCCGAGGTTATGCCCGAATTTTGCGTCTGCCGAAAATTCAACTTCGAGTCCGAATCGGGGGGTAACCATGTCTCAGCCATCTTCCCCTGCCCTCATTCCTCTACGTGTGGGTAACTTCTGAAGTCGCTGGGCGTGTTTCCATCTCATTTTCCAGATAACAAACGGGCAGATTAGTACACCCAGCTGGTTGTTTATATTACATAGTAATGATAGTAACCGGTGACATGGGAGAGCTGTACTGTAGAGCCGCCGGTCACAAAAGAGTCAACAGCTCCACGAAGATACTAAACAGAGTCTTTATGCTCTGAAAATACAGAGAAGAGGGGAAAGCAAAAGGTCTGTCACGAGAGGGTGCAAATGTCTAGGAACAGGGGAGCCTGTGCAGATTCAGCATGATGCTGAACACACGTTGATAATCACTTGAGAAGTTAGTGGTATTAAGGTATTTACCGCGCAATAGGGAACGTGACTGAGCTGCGTTAATGAGCCAGGAACTAGAATTCTGTGGATAAGAAGCGACGGATGCGCTCAGTATATTTCTGAACAAGCTGCGGAAAGTGGCTTCGCCACTTTTGAAAACACTTTTGCTATCTCGCCGCTTATCTGGCTCGCAATGCCGCCCTCTAAGTTCGCGCACGCCACACAACTAGACCATCTGCAGGCCGTCCACCGCTCTTGCCTGCCCCAATTATTGGCTGCAAAATTGTTTGAAAGGGCAAAAATCCAAGTTGAACTGACTGTGAAAGTAATTCTTTGCACCAGAGCCGACCCCGTACAGCCTATCCAGACAGGAGGTCATGTTTGCGAACTCCGGAGGGGGTCGTAATGGGTTGGAGTGGACGATGGAAACGCTGGACGGATTCGCATCTTGGGACTTAGAGGGTCGCGTTCTAGTGAGAAGAAGTTATCTTTTACGAGTTTGTCCCTAACTCCCTTCAAAACTACACAGAGGAAATAAGAAATGGACCCGAAGAGAACTTCAAACGTATCCTGTCCCCCCCCTCCCCTCCGCTTGACGGCCATTTTGGATGGGAAGGGGGCGGAGTTGGGTGTGTCGACTGGACCGTATCAGTGTGGTCATCAACTACTACATATAGCCACAGCCTACCACTGTCCTCACCAATCTAGCTGCCCTCATTCCTCTACGTGTGGGTAACTTCTGAAGTCGCTGGGCGTGTTTCCATCTCATTTTCCAGATAACAAACGGGCAGATTAGTACACCCAGCTGGTTGTTTATATTTACATAGTAATGATAGTAACCGGTGACATGGGAGAGCTGTACTGTAAGCCATGAGCCGTCCACAAAGAAGTCCATCACTCCACAAATACTACCACAGTCTTGTGTCTCTTGAAATACAGGAGAAGTAGGGAAATACAAAAGTGGTCAACGAAAGGTGCAAATTCCAGGAACCGGAGCCGTGCAGATCACATTATGCTGAACACACGTTGACAATCACTGAGAATAGTGGTATTAATGATTTACCTGCGCCAAGTAGGTACGTGACTGAGCTGCGTTAATGAGCCAGGAACAGAATTCTGGTGAAAGAAAGCGACGGATCCGCTCAGCTATATTTCTGAGAAGCTGCGGAAAGTGGGATCGATTCCGCCACTTGAAAACACTTTTGCTATCTGCCGGTAAATTCTCGCTGATCGCACTCTAATTGTCCGAGCACATAACGGACCGATTGCAGCCGCCATCGCCTTGGCCTGCCCCCCCCCATCATCTGGCTGCAAAAATTTTTGAGAGGCAAAAATCTAGAGTTAACTGCCTGTGAAGTCTTCCACAACCGCCCGCTCCTCCCCCTATTCAGACGTCAGTCATCGCTGCGACCCCGGAGGTGGCCTAATTGGGTTGGCAGTGACGAACGAGAAAACGTAAAGAGACAGGGACCTGCCATCTTTGATAATTAAATGGTCTAGAAAAAGCGTTCACTGACGAGTTGACCTTAATTCTGCTCGCAAAAACTACACAAGCGAAACGAGAAATGGACCCGGAGACAACTTAACACGTGTCGCCCCCCCCTCCGTTTGACGGCCATTTCGGAGGGGAAGGGGCGGAGTTGGAGTTTGTGGACTGGACCGTATCAGTGTGGTATCAACTACTACATAGAGAAACAGCCTTAGTGGTGAGGGGTACTAGAGGGGAAGGGGTCGTATTCGTTGGCAACCTTCTTCACGTGTGATAGTCTGGGGTCATGTTGAAACCCGGTTAACCTTGCCTCTCACTCTCCATCACCCTTTGCGCATCCCTCCATCTCTGACGCGGATTCGGGTTAGGTGCTTCGATCCTTGTACAGAAATAGCACGTTAACCGCTTCCTGGAACTATGGAGCAATAGCGAGTATTGAAGAACTAGTAGAAGCTGGCTTCCGGACCTGCTCCTGATAAGGTAACCTCGCCGAAAGCTGCACGGTTAACAGAACGACTGCTGGAGGATGACAGCCTTGGAGAGAAGCCAGAACCATAACAGAACCTTAAACCAAACCAATGAACCTAATCATAAGTTTTTCAGAGCTCAAACGCCTGCGAGATATTAAAAGAGCAAGAGTGCTATTGAGAGGTCTGTTGGACTCCGTCGATTTCGTATCAGTGCCTCCAGTAGTATCCAAGTTCATAGGACGGTTCCTGACCGGTAGTGAGAACAGAGGAAGAAATTGTGATCCAGCTGATGAATGAGATGGATTACAAATGGAATCACTGGGTTCATCAGCGATTGTCATCGTTCTACTCCCATAGAACCTGCAACGAGAAAACAAGAGCTGCTCCATGATTAGCGCGCTTCCAAACGCAACGTTTTGAGTTAACCAAGGAGGGTAAAGGAGGGAAACTGATCGGGGACGGAATGGTGGCAAG